CTTTCCCTCTTAGTAGTTCATATTCTGTTACTAGTTGTTGCTTCTTTATGATAAAATTTCCCTGTTCAAATTGATAATGTGGTTTCTGCCTCCTGACCAGACCTTGTCTGCTGTAGAAGCAGGATCAGGAGTAGGGTGGGTATGCAGATTGCACATGGTAAATTCACTCCAGTATTCTGGTTGCTCTAAGCCTTTGGATTTCCTCTTCCACATCCTGCCAGGGAAGCTGTGACATTTCAACTTTCCTAAGTATAGTTCACCACTGTGTCCAGATTTCATTCATCCAACCAAGTAAGCTGAGATACCTCCAGCTACAGGAACTAACACATTATATCCAGAATTTCTAGTAAGTGCACCTGTATTGGTGAATTTGGTCTGCTCCCATTGGTAATTTCTTCTTGAGAGAGAAGTCTTGGTTTATTCTGAGTTAAAGCCTTAGCATCAACTGCAAACATTTCGGAAACAAAGATAATAACTAGAGCAATGTCTTTTCGTCGACATTTTATAAAAAACACTTTCAGGGCCTGATTTTTCTGGGGGAAGAGAGTCAAAAGTTTGTGATCCTGTAATACCACTTTCTCCATTACCTCAGCTACAATAATAAGGGAATTGAAAAGCTTGTGACACACCATAGCAGGAGCAAGGTATGAGTAGTCACTGATTGCAGATAGCGCTGATCTGAACTTTAAATCTGAACAACATGCCTCCCAGGCTCCAATTTTTAACCCCAAGGAACTATTTTATCAAATTTTTCTTTGTCCTTTCTCAAGACAGCATTGAGCTCCATATATTTTCCAGGATCAGCTAAACAAATAAAGGTTTCTTCCCTTTTGCCCAGCATATTTTATAGAAATACTTCCTCTAGATCTTTCAGTTCCCTCTCAACAGAAGATAAATGTTTTCCAGCACATAGCAAGACATATGAGGGTCTGGGGGAAGGTCACCTGGTGAAGCCTCAAAGCCTAATGATAGCCATCACAGAAACTCGACAGGACTCTATTTAGGCCCCAAGACAAACATTTACTTTCCTCTTCAAGCCACCCCACTGAGCACTTGAGCAAATGTGATAAAAGACTCTTGGTTGTTTCCTTCCCGGGACACAGGTTTTAGGGTCACACTTTCCACCTGTTCCTCTTCAGCTGCTCTTTACTCCTCTCCCTTATGATTTGTTTCAAGGGCATATTCCCATTAGTACGAGCTCCAAAGGCCTGTCTCCGTACTGCTTCTAGCTTCTCTGCACGCCAGACGCTGTCTGAAAACACCGCCCATCCCTTGCTCCCATGGGACTTAGAAGCCGGTCGTAGACGTCGTATCATGGAATATATTTATATCTATATGTATTTCTAAAAGTTAAGCGTCCATGTTTTTAAACTTTACACTATCCTACCTCTTAGAAGTAGTGCTAAATCCAGTAACATCTAGTATCTCTAGTGCCTCCGTAAGGTACAAGGCGAGACTTTGGAGGAATGGATTTGAAACAGATCCTGTCCTTAGTTCTACTAAGGAATCAATATTGACATTCCTAAACAAAATTGGTGCTGTTAAATTAGAAAGTATTTCCAGGAGCAGGTATTAAAAACTTGCAGAGGTACCTCTTTAATGATATAAAGAAATTCCAGGTACCATAGGGGTGTTGATTTACATCTACATAGAAGTAACACTAGAGAGAGATTGACTATCAATGTGAGGGATACCAGAACTTAAGATTTCAGAAGCGTATCTTTGGATAATACATGGTCTGGAATGAATTTGCGTTAGTAGGTTGTTAAATGAAGATGAAGGGAGTTGAAACTGAAGAAGAAAATCCTATACTTTTATTACCCAATGTTTTTCAGTTTTAAAAACTCAAAAAAAAATTGCTTCATCAGCCCTTTTCATGTGTAGTTTGAAAAATGTTCTTCAGCTGATTTTGATAATCCCTCCTGGGAGGCAGGGTTACTTGTCTCAGCAGTACTCATTGAAAATCATTGATTAAGTCCAGTTCCCTCACATAGTCTACATGTATATTTAGAATAAATATAAGTATTTTAAATTAAACAATTAAAGTAAGTCAACACAAACTAAAATATACTAACATACAGCCTGTTGAGAAAAAAATAAGACAATTCAAGGTTAAGTTCCACTCCTGCTGCCATACAAATTATTGTTACCACAGCAGCCATAACAGTCTTTCAAAAACATAAGTGATTTTTATCGTTTTAAAACATCCTGTGTTATCACTCTGTCTAATAGTTTCCTATCCCACTAAGAATAAAATCCTTGCCCATAAGACCATGTGTGGTCTCACCCCTGCCAGTCCATCCAGCCTTATTTCCTACTGTTCTCTCCCATGTTTCTGTGCTGTAGCAGGTCTAGCTGACTTTTCCATTCTTTGAACATGTCAAACTTGTTTCCAGCTCGTGGCTTTTGCCTTTGCTGTTTCCCCTGTCTTGAAAGGCCCTTTTATCTTTCTATGACTGGCTCTTGCTCTCCATTTAGGTCTCAGCTCAGAAGAGTCTTACCTGACAACTACATCTAAATGTCCATCCAGCACACACTGTCTGCTCAATTATCCTGTTTTAGTCATGGTATTTATCACTGAAAAATCCTTATTTATATTGTTTGTTGATTCTCTTCTCCCTGTTTCCATGAGAGCAGAGTTACTGTCTGTTTATCACACCCTTGTATCCCCAGAGACTAGAGCAACTGTGCCTGGTATATAATAGCCTTGAATATGTATTTGTTTTGCTATTGAAAGAAAGAAATATACAGTGAAATGAAAGTTCAAGGAGAGGGTTCTGAAAAGCTTTCCCAGGTTGGTTGGGGGATGGAGTTTATTATTAATAAACTCTCCTTTGATCATTTTTTTATGAACCTAAGAAGACTCATTTTTTAAATGTATAAATGACAGAAAAAAGACAGAGTACCTAATTGTGAGCCGGCAAAAGGACCAGCCTCACCCCCCGCACATGTTAATAGGGACCAAGGAGATGGAAATGGTGATATTGAAACTCATTTTTCTCTTTTTCTCTAATACTTGGACTTGTCTACTCATGTCTACTTTTTTCTTTTAACATGGGTACTAAATTTGTTACCTTATAAAACACAACCCCTTTGCACACTGTCAGAGTATGCTCTGCAAAGACCATCTGCACCAGAATCACATTAAGGGCTTGTTTCATACAGATCCCTGTGCCTTGTTTGGAATTGGGACCCAGGAATCTGCTGGTTGCAGCAACTTCTGTGCTGAATATTATGCTCCCTAAAGCTTTAGAACCCGCACCTCTAGACCCACTCTTGGGGAGTATAGGACCCATCTGTCATGCTGCCTTTAAATTAAAACTATACAGATTACTTGGACATTGAAATAGGAGTTTATTTTTTTCTGCCAAATCACGGTAGCTCCCTCATTCCCTTCCTTACTTAGCCTCTACCAAATCCGAAAGTGATAACTTCAGTTCAGTTTCCTTATGACTTTCTATACGTGCTTAGAAAACTCACAGCAGATTTTGGTTGCAAAGAAGGAGCGGTTTCTCTGCCAAATAAATGATGGACTTAATGTTATTATGTTACCATTGTTTCCCTTTAGTCTCTACTTTGGTGTTTCTCATCCTTTGATTTCCTTTATTCCAATTCACTTTCTGCTTTACTGTGAGGGAAGAAGGTAGCTCAGGGAATGATGGAAATATTAGCTTATTGAAGGGTGTGTCTGTGGAGGAAGCATTACAGTTGCTAGTTTGGAGCAGTTAACACAGTACCATGGCAAACAGAATATAACAGGAGAAAGAGTGTAGGTTTGCAATCTGTAACTACGGCTTCAACCTGGCATCCTGTCGTAGAGTTGTATTACTGTCTTTTATTCCCCAAACCCAGTAGTTATGAAAGGCTGTATTTCTATTAAGGCCATAACTTTTCTAATTTGCTGCTTTTGTAATTTATTGCTGATTTTTCTGTATCTTGTTCTCTATTTTATCTACCAGCAAACACTATAGAAATGTTCCTAAGTAACTTTGGATTGTACTCAATCTTGTTGCTCTGTCGTTTTGACATTTCTCCTTTTATAGTCTTCCTACTGGCAGAATTCTAACTTTTTCATTGTTATATAGTTATTAGTTATAATTCATCTCATTATTTTTCATCTTTTTATCCACTACCATTGTCTGTCCTTTAAACACACAACTTTCCTTTTATGCGACCAAATGTCCCTTTCCAGCTTTGGATTTTCATTGTCCTATAGGATTTTAAATGTTCCCGAAATGAATCTCCTTCTTTATCATATTTTTCTATCTTTTTGATTCAGAAATATTAAAAAACTTAAATTCCTTGACCCTAATTAAAGCAGCCCCTTAAGCCTTTTTCTACCTATTTTATCTTCTCTCCAGTACTTTTTACTATATGGGATTATTTGCTTTGAAATTAATCTGTCTAGTCCACCACCACCACCACTAGAATGTAAGTTTCCTGAAGGCAGAGACTCATCTTAGACTTCATTGGAGTCCAGCACCTAGAAAGGTGTGTTTGGCTACTGACTCACTATTTGCACAAAGAAACAAGACTAAAAGCTAAATGTAGAACATCAGTGTATGTAACCCTTATCATAAATTGCTCTTTTTAATCTGTCCTATATTTTGAAGCATGGCAGTCATATGAGTGTGTATATATGTATACGTATGTACATATATACACACTATATTGATGTTTTCAATATTCTGTACAGAATACTGTATAGCATATTAACAGAGTTTATACTTTTTACTGGAGAATTCCTGTCAGATAAGTTAATTTGATCAGTTGGTTGAATAAATACCCTTAAAACATGTGACTTTTTACTTTTTTCTAAAATGACATTTTAGAAAAATATTTTGAGATTGAAAATATCAGTTAAAAATTAAAAGAGCATAGCTCTTACTGAAACTTGAATTTTTTCCAAAAACAGAAGTCTTGTTAAAAATCTTGTCTTTATCCAGAAACCAAGGAAGAAAGCTATGGAGAGTTCTAGCAACAGTGATAGTGATTCAGGCACATCATCAGACACATCAAGTGAAGGCATTAGTAGCAGTGATTCAGATGATCTAGAGGAAGATGAAGAAGAAGAAGATCAAAGTATTGAAGAAAGTGAAGATGATGATTCTGATTCAGAGAGTGAAGCACAACATAAAAGTAACAACCAGGTAGGTACAAATCATTTCATTGGCAATATCTACACATTATTCAACTTTAGGAATTAACTGTCTTATCTTAACTCTCAAAGTCTATAAAGCTTAAAGTTAATCATTGCCTTTAGTTCTTCCTTTTGCATAAGAAAAAAAAGGAGGTGGTGAAACATTTTTAAAGGAACATTTTGTGTATTTTTTAGTGAGTTTTATATATCTGTCGTTAAGTCATTAGGAACACTTTTTTAAGTACCCTTTTTTTCCTCCATGTTTTACTGCTTGATGCTCTTTGTTTTAATAGACGTTAAGAAGTTGCCTTTTAATTTGTATTTACAGGTGCTATTACATGGTGTTTCAGACCCAAAAGCAGAAGGACAGAAAGCAACTGAAAAAGCCCAGGAAAAAAGAATACACCAGCCATTACCTCTTGTGTCTGAATCCCAGACTCACTCATCATTCCAATCCCAGCAGAAGCAGCCTCAGGTTTTGTCACAGCAGCTTCCATTTATTTTCCAAAGCTCTCAGGCAAAGGAGGAATCTGTGAACAAACACACAAGTGTAATACAGTCTACGGGATTGGTGTCCAATGTGAAACCTTTATCTTTGGTAAATCAAGCCAAAAAGGAAATTTACCTGAAACTCATAGTTCCTTCTCCTGATGTACTTAAAGCAGGGAATAAAAATACCTCTGAAGAATCTAGTCCTTTGACCAGTGAATTGCGTTCCAAACGGGTAAGTTAAAAATTATTTATAGAAGAATTTTACTATTATAAAAACAGCTTTTATATAGTCTTATACGAGTTTAAACTGAATTCTACTCTTATTGTTATACTTTCTTAGTCACCAGGAATAAAATATGCACATCAGAAAACTAAATTTCTCTGACTTTATATTTACATACACACCTGTTGAATGTATTTTTGGCAACACAGTCTTGTCATTTTTCCCCAGGTTTAATGATTTAGCAGTAAGGGGAGAAATATGTTTGTATTGGACATACTTTACAATTACTTTTGTTTAAAATCAATGTCCTTTTTTTTCTAATATTAGTATATTCTTTTTTAAAGAAATGAACTCTTGAGTCATTTACCTCTGTAGTCCTATAATTTGTCAATTTTAAGTATAAAAATCCTTTATAAAGAATGCTTTTCCTTTACCATTCTTAATTAATTATACAAAATACAAAATATTTTTAGTAACATTACTTCTATAAACACCAGAACCACTCTCATCAGAGAATTTTTTTCATCTCTATTTTCTTGCTGTTAGTTTTATATTATAATATTATATAGTCTACAGTCATATGTCCAGAAGAATTCTAATAATGAAATAACCAGTGCTTTTTATTCTAGAACTCACCCAGACTAGAGAAAAAATATTATTTTTGAACACAGTCTCCTGTCTTTTGGTTATACAAATTATCAGTAGGCATCCTAATCATTGGAAAAGACCTGTAGAGCACTTACTGTTTTGCCAGCCATTCATTGTTTTAAGTGCTGAGCATGCATTTACTCATTGGATACTAACATCTGTAAGTGCCACTAATAATATTATGTCCATTTTCAGATGATCAAATTGAGATTCATAAGACTTACATAACTCTCCCAAGATCACACTGCTAGTTGGTGATGGAGCTAGAATTCAAACCTAGGCAGTGTGGTACTAGAATCCTTGTTCTTAATCACTGTGGTATGCTGCCTTTCTTTCTCAAAAAAGTTGCAATGTCCTTGTCCACTGACTTTTATTTTACAGTGAAGAATTTCAGAACAAGGTCAAAGAAAAATGACTTGAGCAAATCAGGCTCTTTTGAGAATCTAAATGAGTAATTCTCAAGACTAAGTGTACATTAGAATCACCTGGGAAACTTTAAAAATGAACTAACCACCTTAGAACAATTTAAAATCAGGATCTCTTGTGTTGAGACTGAGGTGTTACTTGTCTAAAAAGCCTCCCAAGTGACTCAAATGTGCAGCCAAATTTGAGAACCACTGATCTAAATGGAATGACCAGTGGTATCATAATATCACACATATGAGAACTTGTAATGCATGGGTCAATCATAAGGAGTTATTGGCATCACATTATTGACTCTCCTTGAGAAATTAAGCAAATTAAAAATCACATTGGGTTATTTTAATTTTTCATCAATATATATTCCACTTTAAGATAAATGAATGTATAGAGCCACATCGAGTTACTTGCATTATGAAAGTTTTCTTAATTTTTTCAGAGTTTCTTAAATTCTTATTTAAAGATGTTCATATGACTGCCTATTATAAAGTCATTTATTAAACACTTGCTTATTTAAATGTAAAGCTAGGCTTTCTACACATAGGATCGTATGTAATCTTTACAAAATTGTGTCAGGTAAAGAAACTAAGGCTCAGAGAGGTTAAGTCACTTTTCAACATCATATAACAAGTTAAGAGCAGACAGGTTTTAAACCAAGATCATTCTGATTTCAAAGCCCATGATTAAGATGAAATAATTTGGTGTTTCTGAAATGATAATGGTTGTTAATGGGAAATATTTTATGTGAATGGGCATTCACAGTAGACTCAGCTCTCAATGACTTTATCTACTTTTTATTGGTATCTACTATTGAGTTAAAGGGCATTTTTAGAAATATTTCTCTTATATCAGTTCGCTTTCTTTATGTGACAGTCTAACATAGAATTTTGCTTGATTTCTTATGATAGTCTCAATTGTTTCATGCTTCCTGCTATGTATCTGGCTCCCACACTAGTCTTATGATTTTCTTCAGTGTTATTTAATCATTGAATCCTTTCATACCCTTATACTGTAGACATTTAATTTAAATCAATATACATTAATCATATATAAAGACCAGGAGTGAAAAATCTTTATCAAGTTTTGCCTAGAGGATTTTTTATGGCCTTACAGAGACTCAGGTAAGAACTAGGGGAGCAAGAGCTTGGAGGTAGGACAAAGCTTCGAACCTCTCTCTTCTCATACTCCTGTCACCCAAGGGGATATCTTAAAGTAGCAGGACATTTGCTGCTGTACAGGTCTCTTTTTTCTCCCCTCCTACTTTATGTACACCCCTAATATCAAAAAAGATAGCATGTTTGCTGTAAAAGAGTTACTGATACTAGTCTTGGGATAAAATACAGTGATCGTTGGTTATTTTCGAAAACCTTCAGATGTCAGCATATGAGAAGTGATTCTTCAGAGTTATAGAGTGAGAAACAATTTCAAAAAATTAAAATATAAAATTTAAAACTAAAGGGAAAGTTTTTATTTTCATTACTCTTTTGATCCTATGTATTTGGAAGGAATATTTACTACCTAAAAAAAGTAAATATTCCTGTATTTAAAAAAAGAATACAAAATGATTATGTGACAAAATTTTGTTCTAAGAAATGAAAATACACTAAATTTTTCTGCTGAAAATTTAAATCAGTATATGTATAAAATATGAAGTATAAGTACATTATGTGTATACTCACATAATATAACATAAAATATTTATGTTTCATATAAATATTAAGTAAAATTATATTAAAGTATCTTATGTAAAAATTTTGCTATAAAATTCTTTTAAAAAGGTAAACACAATTATGTAGTATAATATTCCATATTTTATTCACTGGATAAATACCAATTAAGCAGTTTCTCTTTGTGAGGCATTGCCTTATGTATCAATACAAATATAATGTGACAGTCTTTGTTTACAAAGTACTAACTTAATTTTCTAAACAAATACAGTGAGGATAAGTTAAATAAGATAAAGAAGTTTATATGGGAATTTCTTACTGCTTATTAGTACTGGTGCTTTAAAATATTTAATAAGTCATTCTATATGGCATTCCATCTGCATTTATACTTGTGAAGTAACCCACCACAAGGCTTTGCTGACTTGAGTGTTAACAGCCCGGGTCCAATGCTGACAGTACTGGCTGATTTTAATTTCAAGGCAACCATTTTCATTACAGAATTTTACCTTTCAAAATTCAACTTTATTTCTATTAACTTGATATTTTAATCATCCTACTTCGGTTTGTTTTTTTATGTTTTAATTATACAAATTTAATGAAATTCATATGATGTCATTCTTTTCATGAAGATTCTGATAGCCAAATAATTTTTTGTTTCTTATTTACATATGTAAATTTTATGGCTTAATGGTTTACAAAATAATTTTTCCCAAGGAAGGTATAATTTTTCTAAACTATTTTCTAAACTCTTTCCAATGCTAATGTGCTGAAGGCACTCAAAAGTATATCCCACAGAATGTTGAGCCAGTCTTCCCACTAACCTCAAATCATGATTACTGTAGGTAATACAGGATAGAATACAAGGGGTATAAAGGAGCTCAAGGATAGAGGCAATGAGTGCTTTGAGCTGGGACAAACATGGAAAGCTTCTTGGGTTGGATTTTGAAGAATGAACAGGATTTCATCTGCTTGAAATTTATTAGAGGAAGATATTTCATGCAAAGAAAATGGTGATAGCAAGATGTGGAGGTGGTGAAAGTATGACATGCACAGGGCATGGCAAATAGTCCACTTGGACAACAAAGGTAGTAAAAAGTAACTTGAGGATCAGATTTAACTGTTTAGGGTTTATAAAGTTGGCAATGATGGAAGAGGCACTAAAGGTTTTGACCAAAGAGCTAATATAATAAAATACGGCTTATATAATGAGAGAATTGGCATTGGCATATAGCACATATTGGGAGTTGGTAAGAAGAAGTGATAGTACAGCTTAAATTTGAGCAATATTTCAATGAGAGAATCCAAACCACTTAGTAATATGGCTGACTTGGAAAAAAGAAAAGTAAAAGATGTTTTGAGTGTTTCAAGTTCGGGTTATTGAGAAAAACGGGAGCAGTAGTAATAAGAGGTGGGCAGTCAGGAAACATGTTTTGAAGCAGAAAGACTAATTGTATTCTGAAATATATTATGTCTAGCAAGATTCAGGAACCAACTAGTCATTATTGCCACTACTTTTATAGCACTTGTATATCATGATTTAAATTTGTATATCAGTAGCTGTGTCAGATACAGAAGGCAAAAAAAAAGTAATTTTTGTTCTTATGGTGCATTGTTGTTTTGTTTTTTTTAAACTTATGTTTCAACAGGAACAATATAAACAGACATTCCCAGCTCAGTTAAAGAAACAGGAGTCATCTAAGAGCCTGAAGAAGGTTATTGCAGCTTTGTCAAATCCAAAAGCAACCTCTAGTTCACCAGCACATCCAAAACAAACATTAGAAAACAACCACCCTAATCCTTTCTTGACAAATGCACTTTTAGGTAATCATCAACCAAATGGAGTTATTCAAAGTGTCATTCAAGAAGCTCCTCTGGCACTTACTACCAAAACTAAAATGCAGAGTAAGATGAATGAAAACGTTGCTACTTCAAGTAGCACCCCTTTTTCCTCACCTGTAAATCTGAGTACAAGTGGGAGAAGAACCCCTGGCAATCAGACAACTGTCATGCCCTCGGCCTCTCCCATACTGCATAGTCAAGGGAAGGAAAAAGCAGTTAGCAATAATGTGAACACAGTAAAAACACAGCATCACTCTCATCCTGCAAAGTCTGTAGTGGAACAGTTCAGAGGAACAGATTCAGACATTCCTAGTAGCAAAGATTCTGAAGATTCAAATGAAGATGAAGAGGAAGATGATGAGGAAGACGATGAGGAAGATGATGAAGATGATGAATCTGATGACAGCCAATCAGGTTATTTTCTATTTTTAAGTTTAAAGTATTTCTCTAAATGCTATGTGAACCAAAACATTTTAAAGAGGTTCTTAATTCACAGGCTGAATATCATTGTCATTCACTGTGTTTCACACAGCTATGCGCCTTTCTATAATGAGTGGTAAAATACAGGAATAATTGAAATTGGAAATCCTAAATTAAGTTCTCAGCTCTGTTATCCATTTAACATTAAACAAATAACTTTAAATTGAATATAAATAATTCATGAATTAAGAAATTCAGGAACTTGTTTAATTTTCATTTAATTCATGACCACTCATTTGTCCTTTCTTTTTCATCTCTTCTGCTGCTTGTTATATTGTGTCACTAGATATTTTGAATAAAGCTAAAATTGTAGTCACAGTCATTCAGAAAATACCAAAAACCTATATCCCTATGAATATTTGTTAGCAACACAGAATGTATTTAATAACATATATAGAGTACCCCCTGATTTTATTTTGATTTACTTTCTAGTTTTCTTTTTAATTTCTTTTTGTTTTATTTCCTCTTAACTCTCCTTCTTGTTCCACAGAAGATTGAAAACATAAAATATAAGATAGCTTAAAATTTAAATACAAAGATGAAATACATATTATGAAAGGTTTTGGATTTGTTCCTAGCCAGCCACAAATCCAGTTGTAAATTTTCTATCTACCAATATGAAGAGGAAAATATAGTCAATTATACAATTTAAAAAGTGTCTGTAAGGTAAAAACAACCTACTTGCTCAGGGTAAGAACAGCTTTTCCTGATATTTTTCCTAGGGTTCCCATAAACACAACTTTGCATGATAGATCATGGATATCAATATTAATCACAAAGATAATTTTTATAATGAACTTCAGTGTAGACAGCTAGTACTACACAAAAAACAATTCCACAGAAGCTGTTGTTCTGGGAACGATTAAGATACAGTCCAAGTATTAGTCCTGTGTTATCAAGTTTAACCCAGAAATAGATTTTACATATCTATAGGAATGGATGCATTTATAGGACTACATTGCTAGCATGAACTTAAATTATTAAATCATTAAATTATTCCCCACAGTTATTTCTGTAATCCTAGTCTTTTGTAAAGCCTGAGAAACTTGATGAAATCTTGCAGGTAAATGGAATAACTGTAACCCCCAAAGCCAAGCATGTCCCCGCAAAAATTGTTTTCTTTGGCCTCAAAGCCCAGAAGAAAGGATAATGATAGTTCCAGAGTTCTCTTCCTCATACTGAACCTAGTATACTTCTTAAGCTACTAGAATCTATTAATTTAAATAATCAATTCTGTTTCCTCTATACTTTGGCTTCTTTATTAAATTTAAAGTGCTTTTGAAACCACTAAGCAGAAACTCATCATGTGAATACTGTCATGTGAGAAGAACTGTTTTATGATTTAAGTTTTATAATTTGAGTAAAACAGTTACTTTTAATGAAGAATTTTGAGGATTTATGGCCTGCATACATTGTACTCAAATAGCTTTTAAGATAGTAATTTTTACATTTACTCTTCAGAAAAATTGCTCACTTGAGTTCTCAGTCACAGATGCTGATTCCTGAACTATTCCATTTAAATACAAACTGCAAACTGTTGGTGATTATCTAGTTATAATATACAAATGCTTCTTTTACTTCCCAGAATCAGATAGTAATTCAGAATCAGATACAGAAGGATCAGAAGAGGATGATGATGATGATAAAGACCAAGATGAATCAGATAGTGATACTGAAGGAGAGAAAACTTCAATGAAACTGAATAAAACAACTTCCTCTGTCAAAAGCCCTTCCATCAGTCTCACAGCTCACTCAACACCTCGTAACCTCCACATAGCAAAAGCCCCAGGCTCTGCTCCTGCTGCCTTATGTTCTGAATCCCAGTCACCTGCTTTCCTTGGCACACCTCCTTCCACACTTACTTCAAGTCCACACTCTGGTACCTACACTTTATTTTTATTATTGTGAAGTAGAAGTCAAACCATAACAAGAATTCTTATTTATACAGTGTTCTGGGGATGATCTCACTGGAATCAAGGGCTAGATTTTAGGTTGGCTAAGAAAGGTCAGCGTGTATTTTCAAAGGATATGACTCATTACCATTTTTATTCTCTGTGCTTCCAATTTAAGAACCTGATTGATGGCAGCTTTTGAGTTTGCATACTTTCCTGTTTTTGTGTTCAGTTTATGCTTCTAGAATTTAGAGTTTGACAGTGGACTTTTTTTGTAATTTATAAAAATGCGCTCACTTGGTTACTTAAGGTACAGTTGCATATCTGCCCAACACATAGCCAATGTCATTTGTATTAGTGAGTTAGCATTATTATTCCTTTAACATGCCATATCTTTTTTTTCTATTTGAACTTTTATAAACTTGCGGAGGTCTTCATTAAAAGGTTTTACATTAATACTCCCAAATTAATCTCTATTCTCATTCAATAGCTAAGGAAATATAGATGTGTATAGTAAAATATTATATTGTTTTACATATTTCACTGTTTTCTTGAAATTTTCTAGTTTTGTTTTCATTTGCCACAAATCAATATGATATCCTACTAATATAAGATGTGTGCATTTGCATTGGTGAAGCTTGATCATTATCTATGAAAAATTTTCCATATAATCATAATCCTATTCTTTGAACTCTAGATTAATTAAAAGTGTTTTTGACTGTAGATTCATATGGCTATAGAAGTTATATTATTTTACAATCCAGATGTTGAAATTTTTCAGCATCTTAAAACTCATATTTTCAAAGAAAACAACTGTACATAGTTTTCCGAAACCTCTGTCTGCTATTTTCCTCCTACTTCTTTAGCCATTTCATTAATAACAAAATGACGGGAAAGCTGTATATTTTTACCTTGCATTGTCTTTTCATTAGAGAGAAATACTAGTTATTCTGTCATGCAGACCAAAGAAAAAAGAAAAATACCCTTTACTTTATATACAATGTGTTTTGTTGAAAAGAATCTAAAAATAATGCACAAGTTGCAGAAATACAGTAAATAATCCAAGTCATTAATATATATTATTCAAAGAAAAGTTTCAGAACTATCAAAAATTTTTCATATATGTAAACTAATCTTTTATGTTAACTGGTTGAATTTTCCTGAAGGCACTCCCAAAAGAAGACGAGTAACAGATGAACGTGAACTGCGTATTCCTTTGGAATATGGGTATGCAAAATAAGATATATCTTTATACTTCCCCCCACATATTTAGGCATGTTTGATTTCTCATTCTCTACTATTAATAAGAGAAGTGAATATACTGCATAGTATTTCTTAGAGCAGAGGAGCAAAGCTGATATATCTGAAGTTGATACGCCAGAGAAAAATTAAGACTAACTTCTGGGTTTAGGTATGACAGATGGGAACATATGCATCCAGGTGGGAATATGACTGAAAAAGTCACAAGAGCAAATCATTTGGCAGAGAGCAGAGACACAGTTAAGAGTGTCAGAGGTTTTCGTGAAGATAGATTTAAAGGAAGGTGATAGCCACTGTGGGCGAAACTGAGGGACTTGAGCAGAATTTGGCTAAAATGGTTCAATAGGAACTGAGAATTTTCATGATCCCCAAAGAGCAGAGAGCCAGGTTTACTGTACTCTTCTCATTTAAAGCTTTTCAGCTGTAAAAAATCAGTACACATTGACACATGTTACTGAACATGTCCAAATACCCAACGTAATGCCAGTATGATCTCTTAAAAAATTTAACGGAGTTTAATATTTGTAAATTGAGCCTTTGATTAATTTTTAGTTGAATTACTTAGCAAAAATATCTAAATTATTTTAATAGTAAATGTATCTGAATTGCATGACTGGCTGTTTTTATTTGTTTTCTTTGTATTTTTCATGTTTTCTAAAGAGCATGTGTTCTTAAACTTCTTTTAATTTTTATTTTTAAAAGCTTTCTTAAAATTCTGAATGTGATAACCCTCATTTCTATTATGTGTAGCTGGCAGAGAGAGACAAGAATAAGAAACTTTGGAGGGCGCCTTCAAGGAGAAGTAGCATATTATGCTCCATGTGGAAAGAAACTTAGGCAGTACCCCGAAGTAATAAAGGTACATACTTTTCACCAAATAACACACCTTTGGTGCCTATTGAGCATATGCTTATGGAAAAAAAAGTACACTCCTTTCTCAGATAAAGTTCCTTGATACAAAATATTCTCTTGTATGGGACTAATGAATGTGCTTAACGTAAACTGATCTCCTGTAAATCCATAGCCCCTTGATAGAATATGCAAAACAGTAGTGTCCTGAAGATAGCTATACATCAGAGCTGGGTTGTAATTATTAAAACCTGAAGTGGAAAAATATGTGATTTTTTCAGTATCTCAGCAGAAATGGAATAATGGATATCTCAAGGGACAATTTCAGCTTCAGTGCAAAAATAAGATTGGGTGACTTCTATGAAGCCAGAGATGGACCGCAGGTATCCACTTTTTAAAAAGTACAGTCTTTGAACCAAGAAGTAGTAACATAACCTAAATGGAGTAAATTTCACTACACTCTGGAGCATTGCCTTTTGTTAGTTAATTCATGTAGCTATACATATAACTTTGTGGTAAACACTCACAAGACCTCAATTTACTATATTTCAGTAACAAGGAGCTTTGACATTTTTTTCAAATTTCTTAAGTAAACTTTTTCCTGTTTGTTAGTTCTGTCATTAATTTTACAGTTTATACAGGTATAAAAGAATCTGTATGTCCATGAGAAATATAGGAAAACCTTAATTCCCTGAAAGATAAACAGCTTTTTGAAAATTAACTTGAATAGGAAAAAACATGTTGTTGTAAGTCAGTCCAAGAGAGGATAAATATGCCTTCGTTTTTGGAAGGATCTTGTCCATTTGTTTATGCCATACTACATGATTCATTGTCACAAGTTTGATAATTTTTGATGGGCGTAGGGGGGATTCCATAATATTAAATGAGTGAAATTTCTGCTTTTTGCAGAAATTGAATTTTTAAATAATTATACACATTTCTGAAATTATGACCACAGCTCCCTTTGAGCTTGAGGATTAAGTACACAACCTCACCGATCAGCGCAAAGAACTCACCACTGAAACCTTGTTTCCTATATGTGTCCTTTAATGGTTTGCCTTTGTTCCTTACTTAGATTCAGCTACATATGCTTATTATTCCCTTTAACTTTATTAGCTCCATTGAAAGAGGTCATAGCTATGGACTAAGGAGACCTAGATTCTTGTTAACCCATGAAATAGTTTTGTGATTTCAAACAACAAAATAATGCCCACTTTTTCTTCAGTTTCTTTATCTGCAGAATAGAGACAATCATAATTTTACTTCTGCCTCATAGGATTATGGTAAGGTTAAAATGAGATCATATGCATGAAAATGTTTCAAAAGGTTAAAATGCTCAACCAACTGAAGTTGTTATTTTCTTTCTTGATTGAACCTTTCTCTCTTTTGGCCCATTATAATGCACAGAAAGATTTTTTCTGGCAATTAATATTTTCTGTTGTGAATAGGCAGGCTTTTCCATACTATCTTACCCTTTAATTTTATAGTTATAGAAGTAGAAAAGGGCTTCCTAATTCTGCGAGAAGTTCATTTTGAGAGCTCAAAGGTTAAGGGAGTTTTCCAAGATTACACAACCTCAGCCAGGCAGAGACATAATTGAACTCAAAATTTCTAACAAGTGTTCTTTTGCATTCATTGTGTAACCTATTTTCCATTGTTGTCCATGACTTTTTATGTCCACATCCACTTGTTTCTTTACCAGTAATTCTAAAATGCCAAAATATATTCATCTGAGGTTTAACTTATTTATGGAAATATATTCTAGGATTTTTCTTTTTTAAACTTAAAAATGTGTCTAACTTGGACTAAATTTGTCACCCAACAGATTCTCGGAATTTTAGTGAACCACAGTGTTATTTTACGCACTCCATATATACTAGACCAGTTTTTAAGTCACAAAACACATTAGAAGGCAATAATAATTTTATTTTAAAATTCTCGTTTTTTAAATCTTTTGATTTTCATGTTATCATAACCTTACTTGTTTCATTTAAATATACCAAAGATATCTTTATGTTTTTAAGTTCAATAGAATTTTATTCTGAGAGGAAAGCTAATTGCTGTCCAATACATAAAGGTCTTTTAGCTTTTTATCAGTGATAATTAGACTTAGTCTATAACGCCTTACTAGGCAGAACAGAATGTTTTTGACATCCATTCACTTTTTATTAAACATAATCAGTGTTTTCCAAAGCATATTGTCTTGTTGAGAGATCAATTCCAATCAAGGAAATATGATGAATTACTAAATCCAGAATGTGTTAAGCTGCCAACACTTCAGCAGACTACTAAGGGAAAATATTAGCAATTTTGGCTGTACTTCTCTTGGTTAAAAAATAAGAGTAAGTTGAATTCATTTCAGGATACTTTTAGAGAACAACAATTAAAGGTGAGTAGTCAAAACAACATTTAGTTAATTAATTAGAGATGCATATAGTTGAAGAACCATATACTTTTTTATGGTATGATCAATATGTATAACCATATAGTTAATTAGAAATGTATATACTTACAATTTTCTATGAAAATGAGCAAAGATTTCATAGTTTTGGTAGAGTAACTGTCATGTGTAACAACTTTGATTGGCTTAAATTTTGTAGAAGATATAAAATATAATTTGGGATAAAGACACCGTTACCAAGCAGTGATGATCTGTATATGTTTACAATAGGTCTGCCTCTATACAAATTGTATAAATGGTATGATGGCTGTACATATATTGAAAAACAACACTATGCATATTGAAAGACTGAAAGGAAATGTACCAAAATTTTAATAATGGATGTAATGATTGGTGGTACAGTGGATCTTTTTTTTCCTATGTTCTTGCATGTTTCATAATTTCTAAAATGTGCTTGTATTACATATATAGTATGAAAAACAATTTCCTATTTAAAAAATAATTGCATCTACCCCTTGTAATCCAATAAAGCTAAGCATTCAGTTTTCCAAATGCATGGAGATTTTACATAATGATTTTAAGTGTTACCGCTACAGTTTTCCAAGTTTCATATATTTATTTTTGGTGTTTGATAGCAAATGAAATGCTGTATTTGTAAATTCATTAGTATTCTTAATCACTCTCCTAATAAAACATTTGCATTGGAAAATATAATTTTCTCCATCATATTTTTCTTTTTTCTCTTAAAACTTAACAAAAAGAAAAAAAAACAACCAATAGTAGTTCTCTAAGTTCCAGTTTCATTCAAAGTATTTCAAAAAATTGCAGCAATGGTATTCCAAAGCTCTATATTTTACAGATGAAATTTAGGAAATGGTAATCTCTGTTAGAAGATAATATCTGCAGTAGAGAACCGTGGTTATTTTATATGTTGATTTCATTTTTGACTGGAGGTATTTCTGAGCTTAAGACAGTGACTATATATATATATATTTATTAACAGCAAACATCTGTTGAAAGTATTGACTAATTTTGTGTGCAGTACAGTAAGATGAGAGGTATGAGAGTTCATATTTATTGAAATTTAGTAAATTCATCATTAACTAAAGGACAAAAATCTAATGATTAACTTTAAAAAAATTAAAAAGAGAAGTCCTTAATTAAATAAGATAGGGTTGACACAAGAAATTGGGGTTGGGGGGAGCCTTTAATCTATCCATTATCAATTTTATTTATTTCAATCTACAAATGTGGTAAGAGATTTGCAAAATCATCTACTGGTTAATATCTGCTGATCCTTAAATACCAAACACTTCCTCCTGGCTTCTATAAAAATCATGATTTTAAGGATGATAGATTTCATGGAACAAAATGAACCATGGCACTCTATACTGGCACTCTATACTGGTGATATACTGGCTGGCTACCTTCTTACTGAAATTCTTTTAACTATTTTAGCCAGTGAAACCCCTTTGAAAAGGCAATAAGGTAAATATATTTCTTACAGACTTCTCCATCACATTATAAAGAACTAGTTGAACCTAATGTTTATCATTGTTTTCATTTTATTTTGTTTTTGAGTGTCAGAATAATAGAAAGTAAGGTTGAGCTAGGCAGATTTTGGTAAATATAGAATAGGGTTATTTTTATTTTCCTAAATATGATACTTAAGTAAAAAGGTAAAAAGTATTCACATTTTTGTCAGCGATATATGAAGGTTTCAAAATGAATTGTTAAAGGCAAAGATTATTTTGAAATATATGATAATCTAATTTGGGAAGGATTTTTTGTGTGTGAATGGTAGAGAACAAAACGTCTAAGCATAAATATAACAATTAAGTTTATTTTTTTCAACCAGGAAGTTAACAAGCAAAGATCAATGAATGTCTGCTGCATTCAGGCCAGAAAAGCAAAGAAAAGGAAAGATGCAAAGAAGGAACAATTAAAAGTGACTTAGGAAAAAAACGTTGCTCTCTCTATTTGAGATGTATTTTCTAAGATATTTTTTTAATGGCATAATGCCACGAGAAAAGAAAAACATCTATAGTTCTTACTGAAAAGAGCCCTTTTTTCTTAGTCATTTAATCAGTTGATATTTGTGGCAAATAGTTAATGTTCCAGGCATTTTTTCCCAAATAAATTTTCCCTAAAGGCATTTTCCATAAAGGAAATTATGAACACATTTCACTACAGAAATGAACTTGAAAGCCTGACTCTGAGGAAAAACTAATGTTCATGGAGAAACTGCAGAGTACAAAAGAAATAGAAGTTATGATCACTGGTTTAGAGAAGCTTGTTGTCTGGGGAAGATAAAACACTAAGCACAGTGCTTTTCAGCTAAAATCAGGGTTTTGTTAATAAGGAATAAGGGGAGACTTCACAATGAAGCAGTCAACATGCAGTCTGTGGCAAGACTGTAATGCTGGTAATTATTTCAAATAAGTAAAGAACAAACGATTGGGAGTCAACACCCAGGGTTCTAATTGAACTCTAACTGTTAACTGTCATACCGAATGCAACACAGCTGTGGGCATATATGGACCCTGAGAACACGAAAGATCAGTACCAGAAGTCCAAAACTCTGGAAATTTATGTCACTAATCTACCAGGTAGGATTTTTGATGGCTAGGCAAAGGCCTATACTAGGAAGCCAACTGTAAGAATCCAAGAGTAGCGCTAAGGAGATATCTGACAGTCCTAACTCTTTGAGGGTAACCTACTGTAACTGGAAAGTATAGTCAGTGTTGTGGAAACAATTGTATCAATCCACATCTTCCTCAACTGATTTGAATAGGTGACAACCATCTCCCAGCATAGATAACTATTCTTACTCTTTCACATCTTTAAAGTGCTATTCAGTATATGATATTAATATAGTTTATTATTAAGATTAAGAATCCCTAATGCTGTAAAGTTTATGGTATATAAAGCTCTCACTACCTACCTCTGGCACCACAAAGTAGCTAAAAATAGGCATAATACTAAACTGTGAATTAGGTGTAAGGAAATCCAACAAAATTCTGATTTTTCTCATGAAAATAACTTTAATGTTTTTCTTAAAATATGAAATGTCAAGTTCTGTGAAAAATATTTGATGTCCTTGCTTTGCTTGTGCCCTAAGCTTTTTCTTAGACTCCTAGCAGGGTAATTCAGCATCCTATGTTACATTGAAAAACGGAATCCTACTTTTCTAGGCCTTAATTTCCTCACCTGTAATGTGAAGTATATATATTATAGGAGGTCTTTAAGATCAGTTCCCTTTTAGGTGTGACATTCTAAAGTTTTTTAATAAACTAAGTATCAGGAAGTAAAGGATTCTGAAATTACGCTTAAAAGAGAAAAGTAGTAGAAAAAAATTATCTTTGTTTACTTGAACCATGGTTAAATTTACTAAAAATTATTTAGCCAGAAATCACTTCGGTAAATGATCCTTCACTGAATGACCAACAGACCTAAAATTGTCAGACCAATGCCTTAAGCCAGATTTAAAACATTCATCATAGCTATTTTTCTGTCAAAAACTGGGATAGATACAGGTCCTGATCCAGAAAAATATGAGTAAAGATCATCTATTCGCTTATATAACATTGAGCATTCTAGAAGTAGTAGGCATCTCAAATATTAATAAGGGAATTGACACTTAGTGGCCCAGGACTGCAAATCCCTGGTGAAATTGCTGCAGCAAAGTCTTGGTGATACTAAAACTTAAAAAAAACAAAAAATAAAAAACCACAGTAACTTGGTAAATAGATCATTCAGTGAATTGGTTTTTGGTGGACTGGTTTACTTTACTTATATACTGCTTTCCCCCCAAAATAAATAAACCTTCAAGTATACAAAATCAAGCAAAATGGGAGCAACAAAAGATAAATAAAGATAAGCTAGAGTATAAAATTGAAACAGGAGTGAGACTTGATAACACATCCCATTAAGACCTAAACATGTTTCTGGTAAGCCACAAATTGACTGTAGTTATCAGTGAAATGTAAGAGTTAGGACTGTCAAATATCTCCTTAACTAGACAATTCAGTGTCCATAACATAAGGTGAAAACAAAGCAGTTGCTCATGAGATGTTCAGAGTATCATTTATGAAGAATAATAGAAATATTGAAATAGAAAATCCTATTTAAGTTAAATTTCTTAGCATCTTTTTTGAATTTCTGAATACAGAAAACATTTAAAAACTAATTCATTTCAAATGTTTTCTTTAAAGCTCTATTTTGTCTTGAAAGTATAAAATACCTGAAAGCAATAAATTTATTTGCCAGTTTTCTCAAGTATGTCTCCATTCAGACTTCTCTCCTTCACATCCAGGAAGTTCTCTCTCCAAAAAAAGACTAAAGTATTCACTTTCCTTTCCACTCTGATTCTCAGGTCCTAATCTAGACCATCATTATTTTTTAAGTGGACAATTGAGGCAACTTACTGTCCCAACCTCTAAACTTTTTCAAATTGATTACTGCTGAGGGTGTGGTCCTTGAATCACCTGCATTAGAATAGCCGGAGCCTCACGTCCTAGTTAAAAATGTTGGTCATTTGGGGGAGTCAAGAAAGATTATTTTCAGGAACCATTTACTATCTTAGTTTTAGAAATTAAGAAAAAAAGTAATAAATTAACTCTTTTGATGAATAATTTCAAAAAATTTATAGCATATGAATCAACTGATGTAAATTGTATTTGCTTTTCCTAAGGAAAAGTTTATTAAGAAAAATGCTTCTTTTTTTTCCTTACCCACGGTTATTTTGGCTACTCAGTGAATTAAAGCTGTAATATAAGCTTCAGATTCCTAACGATCCATTTCTCACTTTCTAAAATCCAGGAGTCAAAAGACATTATATGTAGTCCAATATATGCAACTCCCTTAGAAAGCATTTACTTTATAAATGCCAAGGGCAAAAATGTAAATGATAATGTCACTATAATGTTACCAGTTTTGGGCACCAACATATTCTATTCCTTTTTTGACACAGGCAGGTATATTTGCCTAGCTGAATAAAACATAACTGTAAAATTATAACTGAACAAAAAAAAATAAATTGATCAAACCCTTCAAATCTTAGCTAAAAATTGATTTTATTATTAATAAGGTACTTTAAAAACTGAATGCAGATTCCTTTACAGACTCCTTTATTAGTCTTTCTCTTCTACTTCAAGTGTCACGAATGTCACTTTTATATTTTTCAGTTTATGTGATGCATGCTGCCTTGGTGCCTCAGAGCATAATAGAAAAATGAAAGCCTGAACTAATCAAAAGCTTCCCATACTGGTGAACATAAAAATGTTTTGATGGCTTCCTTCTTAGTGGTTTATGGCGTGAAAATGCAGTTGGTACAACTACTGTTCTGTTGACTTCATTGAAATCTCAGCAAAAAAAAATTCTTACTTTCCTCAGAATTAATTTGTAAAATTATTTTTAACCTGGCAGTTACTGGAAAGAATTAGTATAGATATTATTTTAAACATATAGATATGGATTATATGCTTAATTTTTTTCTGCCACAATCCTGCCTTGCCATGATCTTGGCTGTGCTTTCATGGCTGAATATTGTGATCAGTCATTTATCAAGTATAAGAACATCTTTGTAACACCAATTAAGTACATGTAGTGGTTAAGAGCACAGGTTTTAGAGTGAGACGGTTGGGTTCAAATCATAGTTCTGTTCCTTATTGCCTCCATACCTTAGGAAATTATTCAACTGGGCCTGAATTCTCTCAGTTGTAAAGTAGGTACAGTAAAATCCACCATATTAGATAGTACTGTTGAGAAGATTAAAGTACATAATGTAATCAAAATGCCTGGAACTAAGCAGAGTGCTTGGAATGTGGGATGTAACCATCATCCATAGTGGTAGCAGGAGTGGTATTTGTATTTTTAGTACCCATTGAATGAGATATTCATAGTCTCCTTGCCCCAAGTTAGGTTTCATGGCATAAAGTATACCTCAAGAACTTTTGATTATTTTTGGTTGCAGAATTGCCCATAGTGGTTCAAGCTAAATTCCTAGTTTGAGATTCTTTTAAGAAAAAAAGCATGTTTAAAACATTTTTAAAATGTCACACTAAAGGAATTATCTCTTTAAAAAAAGAAATAAGAAATAAGAAAACAATTATGTTAGAAGGATTATTTTAAAAGGGTGCCTTTCCTGTATTTGAACATGTTGATTTGGACTATAAGTAAGGTAATATAATAATGTATTTTTTAAGAGAAAAGCAGCTCATCACAAACAATATATTTGTTTTGAATGACATATGAAGGATAATGAAAACCAGACACTGATGGTATCTATACACTGAACAGGATTATTCCTATAATACACTAGCATTATGCTGGTGAATGTGTTTCCATCAGGAGACTTATAATGGGAAATCTCAATTATACACCATATATTCATCATTGGCTGTAGAAATTATCATGTGGCCAATATTATTATTTACATATTCCCCCATCCACTTCTCCTCTTCCATAATTTGTTGAAGCAAATAATATACATGTTATTTCCTCTATAAATGTTTCGTGCATATCTCTAAAAGATAAGGACTCTTGTTGTCTACAAGGGTACCATGGTACCATTATCACACTTTAAAGTAATAATTCCTTGATATCATCAAATAATAGTCATTGTTCAAATTTTCAATTTCCTTTAACTGTCAAAAGTTTCTGAACAGTTTGTCTATTTGAATCAATATCTAGGTAAGCTCCACACTTTGGGATTGTTTGGTACATCTTTTAAGGCTCCTTTAATCGTCCCACAGGTTTTTTTACCTCTTGAAATTTATTTGTTGAAGAAACTGTTGAAGAAATTTGTAGTATTTCCTCGACTGGATTTTGCTGTGTAGTTAACCATACACTTCTCACCCAGTTTTTCCTGTGAAGTTACAGTAATTAAGTCTAATCTAGATTTGATTTCCTTTTGTAGGGGACAAGACTAATTTATAGGTGATCGAGTGAACCTCCATCAGGAGGCTAATGTCTGTCTGGTTGTCTCTCTTTTTGGTGTTTGGCAACCATTCAAGTTCAGTGCTTAGACTCATTAATTCATCAGGTATTGCAAGATGCTGGTATTCTAACTCTTACATTCCTTCTTGATTTATTAGCTCTAATATTTCTATAAAGAGAACTTTCATCTATTATTTGGATAGTTTAATGTTTGGTTTAACTGTTAACCCATGAGAACAATCCACAGAGGTGTCATCACACAACTAATTTTCAAATATCTGCCAACTTTATGGTCATTGTAGTTCAGAAATGGTTATTTAAAAATATATATCTATTTATATGTTTATAGATACAGATATAAATCTCTTTGTGTTTAAAGTTGAATTCATTAAGAATATCAAAAAGATGCCAAGTCCATGAATAATTATAGATATAAATTTAATTTAAAAAATAAAATTCCTAAAGTTTGTACCAGCTTTAAATATTTCAAAATATCTGTGAATTTGCCTAGAATTTTCTGACATATTGATCACTTGTGTTTATTTCGTTTGTAATCTTTATTTCTATAAAATGTTAATTAAAAGGGAATGCAGTGGTGTCTTTTGAAAGAAGAGGACGTCATTCCCCGTATCAGGGCAATGGAATGTCGTAGAGGAAGACCACCAAATCCAGATAGACAGCGAGCAAGAGAGGAATCCAGGATGAGATGTCGGAAGGGTCGACCTCCAAATGTTGGCAGTGCTGAATTTCTAGATAACACAGATGCCAAGTTACTAAGAAAACTACAAGCTCAAGGTAAGAAACAGAACGTATCTGACACTGTAATAGTCATATTAAAAAGTGTAAATATTTCTTATATTTTTGACTGATGAAAGATTAACACTGCTCTCAATTTCTAAAAAGTAGATATTTGTGTTAGAATAAAAATGAGAAAATAAGGAGTCCCACTGGTAACTGGAGTTCTTTGATTAGGTAAGCTCCTTTCAAGAGCCATATTCATAAACACAACAGACCCTGTGTGTTGAGAACTACAAAGGTGGGTGATAAGCTTTTAAGGCTTGCACTGAAAGGGCATCTACCAGCACTTGGCACATGCCTTAAGGTTGTGCCAACCTTCTGGAAATTCTCATTTTAACAGCTCCCGATTCCTTGAGGTGGTACAAGGGGATAACTCCAAAATATGTGGATCTGTGGAGTAAATTTTCAGTCAGAGAACTCCAATTACTGGTAAGTAACCCCAGTCTTTGGGTTCTTCTGTAGTATGCACATATTACAGATATTTTCAAAATGCCCAAGTAATAGATTTAATTCACAAATTTTTAAGACCATCAGAAAGTATCACTGTCAAGCACAAAGTGCTCATAATAACCTCAAATGTATTTATGACTCAAAAGTGTACATAGGGCTTCCCTGGTGGCGCAGTGGTTGAGAATCTGCCTGCCGATGCAGGGGACACGGGTTCGTGCCCCGGTCCGGGAAGATCCCACATGCCGCAGAGCGGCTAGGCCCATGAGCCATGGCCGCTGAGCCTGCACGTCCGGAGCCTGTGCTCCGCAACAGGAGAGGCCACAACAGTGAGAGGCCTACGTACTGCAAAAAAAATAAGTGTACATAAATTGTAAACATTAAGTTCCCAGGCTATGTCTGACACAGAAAAAGCTGGCAAAAATAAAACAGTCCTGCCCTGAGTCTAAGTTACTAGTCACAACTGGGAAGACTCTTCTTGTGAAGGGCTTCTTGTGAAGGCTATCTGAATATGTATATGTGTTGGTGTCTTATATTCACAAGCATATATATAAACATATATATCAATGTAAAATAAAAGTTCAACAAAGAACTAACTTAGAAGACTAACAGGATTTTACTTCTCATCGGTTCTCTCTGGGGGAAAAGCCTGACTTATTTGTTTATTGCAAGCAACATCATAATGTTGACTTCTTTGTAGCTCCTTTGTTTTTGTTATGAAAAAAATATCTATGACAAAAGCTCATAGAACAGAAAACTTTCTGTAAAAGATATTCATGAGTGGAATCATTATTAACAGTTTTTTGTTAGGCTATCAGAGACTCCTATACATAAACTGTACATAAGCTCCTATACACACATGCCTTCAAATACTATATATATATATATATATATATATATATACATATACATATGCATATACAATATGTTATATTACATATATATCCTTTTTGATTTCTAAAATAAATGGCTTATAGTGTACATACTATCCAGCTTGCCTTTTTTTCCACTTCATTTATCTTGAACATCTTTCTGTATCAGCACTTAAAAATCAACCTGATGCTTTTCATGGCTGAATAGTGAGTGATACTGTATATGATTCTACCATACTTCATTAAATTAGTCTCCTTTTGGTGACTGTCCTAGCTGTTCCTGATATTCACTATCACAAACAGTGCTGCAGTAGTACATATTACACATATCTTCACATCCTTCTACAGGTGTGGCTGTCTATAGTATAAAATCCTAGAGATAGAATCTCTGAATCAAAGGGTGTGTGCATTTTCAATTTTGGTAAATAGCAGGCAAATATTATCTCCAAAAAGATGGCACCAGTTCATACTTCCACCAGTGGCATGTAAGTTAACTGCCTGGTATGTAACTTAATGTTGTATAAGTTTTTCTCTTAGTCTTAGTATGTTTTTTGAATATTTTTAAAAGTTATTCTGTTTGGTTTCTATTAAGAAGTTTATCTCCCTTGAATAGTTATTAGTGAAGGTTAAAAATAAGTTAATATATTAAGAGATACAGCCACATATGATGAGTTTTTAAAGTTAGTATTGTCAGTAAACCACTGGCTCTTCTAAAGAATGTATAATAGTGGGGAATGTGCATTGTTTGCGTAAAATAAGAAAGCTTGAAATTAACTGATGTCCAAAGTCTGGGCTCTTCATGCATGTTTTGCATATCTTATACAAATAGCATTAATACTTAGTATTCAAAATGGCAACTTTATATTTGCAAAAGTAACTAAATTTTTACAAAATAGAAGTTGGTTATTCAACTTTTACTCAAATGTTTTTTCTCCCTCTATATTTCAAATTGGTTTGTATTCCGTTACATACTTTTCCCTTATTGTATTATGTTGCACTTTGCAAATTATTTTACATTTGACCTTACTGTGTATATATGTTCTTTCTCGCATGTATATAAATGTTAAATATTTAACACTAGATAAATAATAATTATTAATATGTACAAGCAAATGTGGTATAATATGCATTTTTTTTTCTTGGGAAGAAAAGAAAATAGCAATGAATCACTATCACCCCTTTTATTTCTAAAAGACTTCTACATTAACAGTTTGAGGGGGTTATCCAAGGGGATTCTATAAGTTTCTGTTATATATTATCATACAAGGACTCAACTAGGCTGAACAACTGGACTTAATTTGAAGAAAGATTCAGAACAGTAACATAAATGCAAACTTTGAATGTACTTTCAAGCATTGTGAAATGAGAGGTCTCTAATTTCTCAGGGAATACAAATAAGAATCTGACAAAGTTTGAATATGAAAAAATCTTTTAACCTATCTAAACAAACCTGCTTCTTAATTGGCCAATACCATTCATATCTCAGATTTTCTGAGATACCGAGTAACACTTGTCCATTTCATACATTGTAGAATCTGAGATGCCCTAGTCTGTGCAATGCCCCAGTATTTTAAGATGTTCCACTAAGGAAGAAAAGTGCTGCCAATTTTTACACACACTCTGATTTTAGACATGTGTAAAAATGCATCTTAGAATCAAAGAAGTGTGGTATATGTAAAATATCCCTAATTCTAAGTGAAAATAAACTTTATTTCAAAATAAATTTTTACCTTTGAAAGTGAAAGAGACAAATTCTTCAACCATGAAAGATAGTTTTCAAATTAATATTTCAAATGCTCATTACAATAATAATATATTCAGGGCTTCCCTGGTGGCACAGTGGTTGAGAATCTGCCTGCTAATGCAGGGGACACGAGTTTGAGCCCTGGTCTGGGAAGATCCCACATGCCGCGGGGCAACTGGTCCTGTGAGCCACAACTACTGAGCCTGCGCGTCTGGAGCCTATGCTCCGCAACAAGAGAGGCCGCGATGGTGAGAGGCCCGCGCACCGCGATGAAGAGTGGCCCCCGCTCGCCACAACTAGAGAAAGCCCTCGCACAGAAACCAAGACCCAACACAGCAAAAATAAATTAATTAATTAATAAACTCCTACCCCCAACATCTTAAATAATAACAATAATAATAATAATATATTCAGCAACCATAAACCAAATAAATGAGAAGATATTGGGAGCAGTTTATTCCTCAGAGCCTGAGTGAATTTTCTTGGTCTCTAACTCATTCTCCTTCCTCCATAGTGTCTCTAATTTCTTTTAACATTTTTTTTTTCATGTTTTCTCCAACTGTTCATAACGTGAAAGTTCAGCTATATAAATTTTAAGTGATTAATCCAAATTGTATCTTCCTTGCTAAAGTGAAAAGATATGAGTTGAGCTTTTTAATGTTTTTCTTTTCCAGGAGTTTAAACATGAAAATTACTGTGAACTAGTGTGGAGTTTGAAATTGACTGATACATTCATATACAAAAATACGCCAATATATGTGATAAAAATTTCTTTATTATAAGCCAAACTTCTATTAGAAAGCAGCAGTTTAGCTTGGAACAAAGCATCATACTTATGCCACCTTTTCTAGGAATTTTTTTTTTAACCACTTAGCAACCCTTTACATTTTAAGGCAGATTTAAGTCTTTATATCAGAGTTCAGTGAAAGCCTTCAATTCTTATATGTTAAAAAATAACGTTTACCTGGATCTGTCATAGATGAGAACAGTGTCCTGCAGGTGTATTATTATCAGAGCTTGCTAACTCTGCAGGCCAATTGATACATTTTTATTTCCCAGAGTATTTCGTGAACAGGAGAATCCTTTCAATGCGGCTCAGAAATTTTTGATGATGCTTAAAACTTCTTAATACTGAAAATTATTGGAAGATTGGAGGTATACTTTAGTATCAGCTTCTATTTCATCTTTTATTAACACTTCAAGTTTCCTAGATAAAATCAAATCTTCTTATATCCCCTCCCCTTTTTTTAAGTCTTCATGATAGGAAATCGACCGTAGTAACCAACTGCACCTCAGCTGTTACAAGGACGTAGGGTTAAGTTTCTTTCTAAAATCTCAAGGCATTTAAATTTCTCTAAGTGTTTTAGAAGTAGTAACATATAGACTGTGAAGTCAGAAAGTCCTGGGTGTGTATCTTAGCTCTGCTCTTTAACTTCTGGGAGCCTTATATTTCATTTGTAAGCTGGGCATAATGTTGCCTATCTCATAAGGTTGTTATGAAAATTAAACAAGATCATGTAAATTTAATACAACAGTTCAATAAATGGTGGAAGTTATGAGTAGAGCTCAAGTGGTTCAGGGAATCATGTGATTACCTGAATCACATGATTACCTGAATCAATCACTTGATTCAGGTAATCAAGTGATTACCTAATCATATTCATTATTAGTGAATATAAGTTTCTTAAAATTCTTCACCTGCTACAAAGTTGAAAACAATGTCTAATGTAAAGTGGTATTTTCTAAAATGATTTTATGAATGATACACCACTTTTATAGTTACAAGTATTTTGATCAAGTTTGCCAGCAGAAGAAAGTGTAACATTACATGCTTTTCTGTATCAGCTACCTATTGCCACATTAAGGCCAACCACAAAACCTCAGTGGTGTACAACTCTAAGCATTAACTATTTGTGTGGATGGAATGAGCTGGTGGCAAGTTAGGCAGTTAGGCATCTCTGCTGATCTTGGCTGGGCTTTTTCACATTAGTGGAGTCAACTGCCTCCATGTGTCCCAACCTCAGGCAGCCTAGCCCGAACATGTCCTCATAGTAAAGGGCAAGGCACAAGAGTAAAAAGAGTTGAAAGAGTACAGGTATACTTTCAGACTTCTACTTGCATCACACTGTTTACATCCCATTGGCCAAAGAAGATCACATGGCTGAACTCAAAATCAAGGAACAAGAAGATATATTCCACGCATGTCTTGATGAGAGGGGACCGCAAAGTCATATTATAAATGGCATGGATAGTCAAGGAATGAAGACTTGGGACCGTTAATTATGTCAGTCTATCCCAGTTTCACACATTTGTCCTTAAAAAGTATGAGAACTAGGTTGTCCTTAAAACTCATTGACATTCTGTACTCTTTATTTAGGAGGTTTAGTCGCTTTCCTTCATAAATGAGAATATCAGTGGATTCAAAAATTTTACCATTTATATAGCACACTGAAATGCTAAGTTTGGGGGCTTTGTTCTATTTTGGGTTCTCTTTCTTTTTTTTTAATATACTTTGTTATTTTTAAGACTGAAGCTGAATCACTTTTTTTTACATATTAGCAGGTACTTTCATACTAAGTGAGGATTACATGAAATGTGAAAAAAAATGGACTTATTTTAGCCTTTGTGATGAGGATTAAGAGAGGCATCATTTTTCTTATGTATATGGGATCATATTCGATGAAATAGTTTGGCAATTTCTAGGGGAAATGAACATGACATTTTCTGAGGTTCTCCTACTTGGTATCTAATGTTTGGCAATTTTCTTAAAAATTATGTCCTTCATGATGATACCAGTTTCAACAGGTATTGTTTTTAGGTTAGCAGTTGTGTAAAGTTGTTAATAACATTCCTTGAAATTTTGTATTTTTCAGAAATAGCCAGGCAAGCAGCACAAATAAAGCTTTTGAGAAAACTGCAAAAGCAGGAACAGGCTCGGGTTGCCAAAGAAGCTAAAAAACAACGAGGTGGGTGATTTAAATGGTAGCATAAACTTAAAGAGTGAGTATTGGGTAATTCATAAGAGGCATCTCTTCTTTGTTCCTTTTCTGATGATACCTGTGCCTTGATTTTTTCATCATAGCAATAATGGCTGCTGAGGAGAAGCGAAAGCAAAAAGAACAGATAAAGATTATGAAACAACAGGTATGTTTATTCCTTGGAACTGATATTTAAAGCACAGGCATTGTTTTGGGGATCTATCTGTATCTTTCTATGTGTACATTATTTTCATTTTGATTTCTGAAATAACTTTCACATTAATGTTATGTATCTTATTTAGAAAGTTGTCCTCTTTCATTAGTTAGAATTCACCTCATTTTATTTTATTCTATTTTATTTTTAATTTTTATTTAGTTTTGGCTGCATTGGATCTTCCTTGCTGCACACAGGCTTTCTCTAGCTGCGGCGAGCGGGGGCTATTATTCTTCACTGCGGTGCACGAGCTTCTCACTGCAGTGGCTTCTCTTGTTGCAGAGCATGGGCTCCAGTAGTTGTGGCCCGTGGGCTCTAGAGCACGGGCTCAGTAGCTGTGGTGCACAGGCTTAGTTGTTCCGTGGCATGTGGGAAGTTCCCAGACCAGGGCTTGAACCTGTGTCCCCTGTATTGGCAGGTGGATTCTTAACCACTGGGCCACCAGGGAAGTCCCTAAATTCACCTCATTTTAAAACGAAGTCTTCTACTTCCAAGTTTTTCTAAGAATTGATTACCACCGGAGCCTGTGCTCCACAACGGGAGAGGCCACAACAGTGAGAGGCCCGCATACCGCAAAAAAAAAAAAAAAAAAAAAAAAAAAAGCAGTGTAGTATTATCATGTTATTCATCATGTGAAGTAAGAAATTATAGTATGGAAATTTTTAATGATAATCGATTACAGTTGTGTGGCACCACACACTTTTTTATTATAAATTTATTTATTTATTTATTTTGGCTGCGGTGGGTCCTCGTTGCTGCCCACGGGCTTTCTCTAGTTGCAGTGAGCGGGGGCTACTCTCCGTTGCAGTGAGCGGGCTTCTCATTGCGGTGGCTTCTCTCATTGCGGAGCACGGGCTCTAGGCACGCAGGCCTCAGTTGTTGTGGCTCGTGGACTCTAGAGCGCAGGCTCAGTAGTTATGGCACACGAGCTTAGCTGCTCTGCAGCATGTGGGGTCTTCCCAGACCAGGGCTCGAACCCGGGTCCCCTGCATTGGCAGGCGGATTCTTAACCACTGTGCCACCAGGGAAGCCCCTGCCACATACTTTTTTAAGCACTTTTAATTTATTCATGACATAGTGAGAGAGGGCAAACACCTCTCCCTATTTTATACAAGAGTAGCTATTCTTTGCTCAAGATCATCCAATGAATGACAGTAACTCAGGACTAGCCTTAGGTTTTCTCACTCCTGATACACTATTTTTCTACTTTCTGTCCCGTTTTTATTTAAAACTAAGCATAATTGTAACTGCAGATACTTATAAAAATCCACAGGCTAAATGAGTTTAGTTTACGTAGTTTCTGTATACATATTTAGCATTTGTATTTTACAAATTGTTTTGAGAAATTTTATCAAGTCATATTAATTTGACATGAGCTTATATATGATGTTACACTAAACAATTAAGTTTTACATCCACCATGGGCAACCTTTGGTAACTCTGTATTTATATCTTAACTTATTTGATTTGACTTAAATACTTTTCACCTAGAAATTTAGTTTATTTTATTATCTTAAATTATTATAATTTTTTCTACAGGAAAAAATTAAGAGAATACAACAAATCAGAATGGAAAAAGAGCTTCGAGCCCAGCAAATTCTAGAGGTAGAATTCTTAAATGTGATATGATTAAAGTAATATATAGTCATATATTTTAAAGTCTCCAAAAATAAAAATCTTACCTACATATTCTGTCACTCATACAAATTAATATGTCCATCAGAAACTCTCTTTAAGCATAATGCATAGAGTAAGACCTTATCTGATCCTTATTTAGCAGACTCATCTAATCCTAACAACCCAGGGAAACTTCTGAACAAACAGGGAAACTTCTGAACAGCCAGTATAGGTGTCATAAGGTTCATATGCTGAAACTCGTGTTCTTTACTTTTAGAAAACTCATTAGGACTTATAGTCAGATATTTACTTTTAATTTAGAAATAAAACATTACAAGAGTGAAAGTAAATTTTAAACACAGAAACAGTTTAATCAGCTTGTTTTTCTGGCTTCTAATATACCCTGCTTCCCCACAAGCTGATGGAATAGGACTAGAGGACATATATGGGAATCAGTAAAATAATAGCCACAAGATAGCAGGGGAAAATACAGAAAAACTCCAACCAGCATGTATAGGAATTCAAAAGCCTACCAAGAGTCTGTAATCTTTTAGTTGAATAGCAAGCAGTTTTCAACACCTTAACAGCTGAAAGGCATTACTCTGTGGAACTGTACAGTATAATAACTGATGTTCAGAATAATTGCCCCAAGTCATCAAGAAAAAGCCAAATTATACTTAGCGTGGTGTGTCTAAGCAGTATATATCTCAAAATTATTTCCATCCAAAATAGTGAAAATAAACTTTTAATGTTCAGAATTGCTATAACCTCCCAGCTATTCAGGAAACTCTTGGTATAAACGATTTATTCCCTGAGGGTGTCAAATAGCTGAAGTGTTCTATGTTACATGATTATTCCTTCTAGAAATATACACATGTTTCCTTATCCATTTCAAATTAATTTAAAAAATCCAAATCTAAAGTACTCCTATCTTCAAGTAAATTGACAATAGCTACCGGATAGTTATCAAGCTACTAGATAATTAATGACTTTAACATTATGATGCTCAGATTTGGTATCATGGCCTTGATATTCAAAATGTACTTCATGAAAGATTGTGAGTTTCCATTCTATCTTTTTAAAAAACCTTGAATTTAATCACAATATACAGCTAGAGAAAATCAGATTTAATGTGTTTCATTTATATCAGCTGAGTAATGGATTATTTTATCTCAAATTTCAAGTATTAAAAAAATCCAAATAAAGTAGACATGTTCATTTTTAAATGTGTTACTGATTTATTATTTAAGTAACTTTTATTACCAGTTAAAATCTATCCCATCTTCTAAATTTTTTATGATCATGTTTTACTTTTAAAAATCAGAAAAAAGGAAAACTTACATAAAATAATTTTTTCTGTGATTAAGTTTTAATGTAAAATAATAAACACTCAATTATTTCAGACTTTTAATAGAGTTTGAAGAAGTCAAGAAAAGCTGACATACTCTTATGAATTTAAGAATTTTTTATATCTTAATGCTAATCTATACATTAGAAATGAAATTAGTATGTTAAATACAGTGTTAACTGTGGGAAAATCTGTAATTGTTTACATATGTGTTCCATGTTGTTTTGTACCTGTGAGGCATGTAGCTCCATTTTCAAGTCATAGATTACTTTCAAGTTGCAGTGGTGCTGTTGCATGACTTTGAGACCTGTTTTGCATGCACAGGCAAAAAAGAAAAAGAAGGAAGAAGCAGCAAATGCCAAATTATTGGAGGCCGAGAAACGAATAAAGGTTAGTTATGAGAATCAGTTTTCATTTTTCAAAAATAAAAACTGTATGATATTATACCAGTATCAATTATATTTAAAAAAAATAGCCCTCCTCAAAATGGCTATCTAAAAAAATGTTTAGCACAGATAAAACATGTGTATAGTGTGTGTTTTTATTGTATGTATATTGGATGTATTTTTTATATTTCATTATACAGGTTATATGTGATACTTTGAGCTCTTTAAATAGCAGACCAAATCAGAAATGCAAACTATTGCATAATACCTGTATATAGTTTTGATGGATAAGATCTCCCCAGAGCTATTTTGTATCATTTATGTTTAAGTTTCAAATTGTGTTCCCAATCCGATTCTCTCCTTAGATTATAACGTTCTCTTTGTTAATGTCTAATAACTGTTTTAACTATTAAAAAGTGAAAAGCCTACAGAAACAAAAACCTAACTTTATCAGCTATAATTTACCAATAATAAAATTAGCCATTGTTATATATTGTAACTTGATGTGTTGTTTGGGGATGTTTTGGTTTTGATTTTCTGACGTGAAACATAAGAGTTGGACCCTCACCCCCCCATCCAGCCTCCACCCCGACACACATTACACCCTTACCTTCCATTTTTTCTGATAGTTATTTACTGAAATTGGGCAGCCATGTGGTCCTACCAGTTCGAGAAACAGCCACTACAGCTATATCTTATAAAACCAGGGAACTGTTTGTTACCTTTTTCTACATAGACTCTCTTACTTTGTTCTTTAAATTTCTACTCCTTTTCAAAATGGCTGCCCTTAATATTAATTAATCCGTATTTTACCTTTATAAAAAGATTCAAATTGGTGACATTCCCAGAACTGTTTGTATTAAGCCCTACCCCTTTGGGATGGTGCCCTCAATCATCGGTGGGCATAAAAATCTCAAGCTGATTCCTTTTCTCTTGTCACTTTCATTCCTACACAGTGATAGAAATGATATAGGTGCTGTTAATCCCAGAGTGTATTTAGGGATTTATATTCAGAGTGGAGAGAGTTTTAATTAGCTAGATTTGAGGGTTGCTTCTTTATGTTTTCTTTTTTTTTTTTTTTTTTTTTGCCATTTTTTTTTTTTTTTTTTTTTTTTTTTTTTTTTTTTTGTGCCAGTTGTATCTGATATGCTCTATCTAGCTAGTCAGTTCAGTGAATGGGTCATTGAAGTGTGCTTGCTATTAGGTCACTGAATTTCAACTCTAAATGTCTACTGCATAAGGATCCTTGCTCCTGTCTTACGGTTTTTATATATTAGGTAGAACCATATGAAGTTGCCACTATATAAGTAAAAAATTATTGGATGTTTGCAGTTTCATATAGTTCAACCTAATGGAAGACTATAGAATCTCAGAAAAGGAACTTTTAATACTTGTTGCATGTTCTAAATTTTCCCTAAAAATCCATCTTAAAAGTTTCTTATTTTTAAGGAAAAAGAAATGAGAAGACAACAAGCTGTTCTTCTAAAGCATCAGGTCTGTAGACACATAGTTATACAGTTGTCGAAATGTACATTTTATAATTTTTCTTAAATCTATTTTTGGAAAAATCTTCAAGATATTTTCTTTAAAAGTTCCAGTATAATTCCTGCTTAAATTCCTGGTTTTGGGATTGGTGTCTTTCGGGGGGTTAAAAATTGGTTTCATGACTCTGTGATTTCTGTTTCATAATGTTGTGCCAACTCTTTCTACCAGGAGTTGGAGAGGCATAGACTAGATATGGTATGGGTATGTTTATTTCTGTACATCTAACACCGCATTGTGATTTGGTTGTGATATGGTTGTCATAGCAATGCATAAAGTGTAGCACTGGCTGCTGTCATATTACATACTGCTGCATGGCTTTACAGCACAGTGCATTGCATACATCTGCTTGTCTGTCTATAAAGAAATATGGTACATTTCCAAGATTTTCAATTGAATTGGGCAGGCCTTATATAAGGCTGCTGTCTAAAAGTTTACGTTACTGATGTCACAGTGCAAGTTGGATCACTATCCAATTAGACACGACTACGACCCATATTCTCCCATCATTCTAGATGCAAAACTGCCATTGAATACAATGGGAATTTTGAGTTAGGTTGATGAGAGAATATGAAATATATTCTGGTTTTATGGACAAATTTTAGAAATTTTTAGAAATATCCCTTTGGGGGAACCACGTATATCTAATCAAAAAGAACGATTCAGTACTATAGCTATGTGACTTTTTTATTTTAAAGTAAAATGAGACTCTCGAAGTAAGCTAATGCTTACCTTATTTTCATACTGTGCCTTTTAGATTCCACTTACGAGCCCATGGTGCAGCTTTTGTGGCTTTAAATAGTGCATCAAGTGGCAGACATCAGTAAGCAGGAATATCCCATTTCATTGATGTTGTTATATGAATCATGCCTATAACAGCTTGAAAAAAACTTTCTAATTTGTTGGTGGCTTATTGGATTTACAAAATGATAGTGTACTTGAAATAAAAATAACTAATTCTAAAACCATGAAGTGAAAGTGAATATAAATCAATTTCTGCCTGATCTAAAAATTTAAGAACAGCACAACCTTTGGTTTAATTGGCTGTAGTACATATTTGTGGTTTTTCTAATAGCAGATGTAAGGTAACTGACCTGTTCCAGCCAACCATTATGCTTTTTGTTCTGCCAGCTTTTGAAGGAGCATCACAACTGACCATAAGTAAACCTTGTATGCTTCTGTTTACACTGTCTCCATGTTCATTGCTTTACCTTTTTGCTTTTGATTGTTCTTGTATTTGCTTTCTAAACCTGAACTAAAACATGCACAGACTGGCCATTCTTGTCTTATATTTAGTATTTACTGTGACTTGTCTATAAATGCTAAACATGCTATACCGAGTTTTTTTGTTCTGTTCTGTTTTGTTTTTCCATTTGAAAATCCAACTGTTAACTATGGTTGAGTTATATTCCTAATTTTATCTGGCCTAATAGGAACGAGAGAGAAGGCGACAACATATGATGCTTATGAAAGCTATGGAAGCGCGTAAAAAAGCAGAAGTAAGTGTATGTTTCTGGAGAAACATTATCGTCATAAATTCATATTTTTTCTGAAAACATTGGCTCTTCTAAGTATAGATTTTTTGGAGTAGGCATTGTCATGATTTACCGACTCTCATAAGCAAACCAAAGGTTAGAGATAGTAGCCAAGTGTTAGAACATAAAAGAATCCATGGGATGGATTCCAATGTATGAGTTAGTTTTCTTGGCTGAGATTCTAATTACCTTTTTAAAATATAGTGAATGGCATTCATTTGGATAAAATGAATTCTTCTTACTGTGACCAGAGTTTCACAAAATTACAGCATGCCTAGACAAGTCCTGTGTGTCCTAATTCAAACATCAGTCAGTTCAACCGTGGACTTCTGCCCTCAGAGTTACTCTTTAGCATTCTATCTGTAAAATTAGGCCTAAGTACTATCTTTGAAATAGACTTTTACCATATACTTCAGAATAAGAAAATTATTGCAGTAAGTCAAAATGAACTTATATGGTTGTTAATAGAAATCACTTAAAGGTTAAAAAATGTTACAAAGGAATGCATTCTGAATTAAAACAGTTGAATAGAGGTATGGCCATTATAACCAGGGCTTTGGAGTTTCAGAGACTCAGGTACACGTGCTGGCTCTAAACCAACTTGCTTTAGCTCTTCAGGTTATTTCTTCTTTAAAATTGAGATAATGATTCTGGTAGGATTATAAGATTATCAAGTGGGATAAGCATTTAATAAATAATAATTAATGAAAACGAGACTGTTTGGTCTAGAAGTTGAGTGCCCTATATTTCAGTTTTCTGGCCTCAGCTGTGGCTTAAACTCTCATTACAGATTTCTGATATGAAGGCACAGTATGTGTACTGTTTAGGAACCTGGACATTGTAACCAAATGATCAGGATTTGAATTCTGATTTCAGTACATTCCAGCTATATGACCTTGGGCAAGTTATTTAACCTCTCTGTGATTCATTTTTTTCATCTGTAAAATGGGGATGATACTAATTCCTATTTCATAGGGTTTGTAGTTATGATTAAATGGGTGTGTGTCTATATGAGCGTATGTGTAAAGTTCTTGGAACAGTGCCTGGCACCACATAGTGCCTACTTACTTATCACAATAAGTTATTTATTACTATATAGGTGTTTTTTTTCCTTACTTGTTAATTATCCAGGGCCACTGACACCCTCTACACCTAACATAACAAGGGAGTCTACACATGGATTTATAACCACAATCTAAAAATGACACCCTCTACACCTAACATAACAAGGGAGTCTACACATGGATTTATAACCACAATCTCTGAAAAATGACAGGCAGGGAAAGAGAGAGAGGTAACAGATTCCAGGAATGGGCATGGCTGCGAACTCTGTTCCCTTCTGAACGCAATGGTGGGAAGAGTAGGGAAGGGGATTAATTAAAATTCTAAAAGCTCGACCTAATTTTCTCCTATCTGGAGAGATGGGAACTGAAGGAATAACTCAGGGAAAAGACCTGGAATATCCCTCAAGAGGCAAGTTCTTCCCTGCCAGGTATTCCTCTTACCAGAAGGACCAAGAAGAACCAGGGCTTGTTATTCTGATTTTTCCTCTTGGAGAGGAAAGCTAAAGAAAGTCAGAATAATGAAAATAACCAAGAGCATTATCTCCAGACGTACTAGGATTTGGTAGAAGGGGACACCCAAGAGAATAGTAAGGATAAGATCATCCAAGGGAGCGAATGCTCAGGTTAAGCGGTACCCAAAAGGCCCACAAGTCATGACCTCTCCCACTGGTTTTCTTATATTTGTTCTGTGGCCTGGGAGGAGTGTAGGAAAAGCTGCTGAAGAGAGGCGAGTAAGATCTGCATTGAGTGGAAGGTAGCGGCCATGGGATAAATGAAGATAATTCAAATGAAATCTTCTAAGAATCTCTCAAGACCCAAGAGCATCTTTCATGGGAAAAGGATATACCCTTGAGTAGACAGAGTGAAATCAGGTACACTGCTTCCAATAAAACTTGGAAAGGGATATGAGAAACCAGGTACAGCTCTCCCTCTTCTAGCTACCTTCATCCTCAGAAAAAAGGAACATGAATAGCATACAAAATACTCCTCAATTTGAAGTACTTTGAAATATAAAAACAATTATCAGGTAAAGTGAGAAGAAACTAAAGGAAAATTAACCCACCTATATTGGAGCAATGCAAGTTCGTGATAGGGCTGCCCATATCAAGCATGAATAATTAGAAAAGAAATGCAAGAAAACTATGCCAAAATATCAAACCAAAAATATATGTGTGTACGCACGTGTGCATGCATGTATACATAAAGTAACAGCTTAAAGCATAATAACTTAAAGAACCTGTTTTCCCTGCTTTCATTCTTGCTTTCCTCAGCACACTCCCTACGCATTCTCCACAGAGTAGCCGGAGTGATCTACTCAAAAAAGAAACCAGATTATATCTGGATAAACACTATCCAGTGGCTTCTCATTACAATAGTAATAAAGTCCAAATTCCTCACCAATGACATATCAGACCCACATGCCCTGACCTCTGCCAACCTCTCCAACTTTACCTCATACAATTTGTACCTTATGTACTATGTTCCAGTCATTTTTGTCTTTTTATTATTTCTAAACAAAGGGTCTTTACTGTTGCTGTTCTTCCACTGAATATTCAAGTGGTTCTTATCTATTGTTCAGTCATAGGTCAAATATTAACTTATCAAAGAGGCCTTCCCAGAACAGAGTACATTATATGTTGTCTGTCTATATAATTTTCTTTATATGATAATAGTAAAGTCATTTTACTTTATTCTAGGTGGTTTTCTTTTTTTAAACACTTAGGAACTATTATTTAAAATAACAATACAATAACATATGTTACAAATAATCCTTTATCAGGATGTTTAAGAGAATCCCATAGGTAAAGCTGAATTCTTAAAATGTTGTTATCCTCTGATAACTATAGACCTGAGAACAGGACTAGAGAATTTTACCAGTTATTCAGATTTTTTTTTTTTTTTTGGCCACACCGTGCGGTATGCAGGATCCTAGTTCCCTCCGACCAGGGTTCAAACCACGACCCCTGCATTGGGAGACGTGTAGTCTTCTTAACCACTGGGCCACCAGGGAGGTCCCCAATTACTCAGATCTTAAATTGTGTTCCTCTATTGAATGATACCTATAGATCTTAGTAATCAACTAAGTATGTTTTTACATTTCTTAAAAGACTGTTGTGTACACAGCATTAAATTAGATGCTGCAGGAAAAGCAAAGAAATTAAAGACGCTTTTTATCATATCAGAGAGAGAAATCTTTACAGTATAAACAGTTAAGCAGTGACTAGGCATATATTTTTACTGATAATCCAAACTTTCACCATATCTTTTACATAAACTTACACCTCCGTGAATATTAACAAACGCTTCCTATGTCTATTTGTTCATTTCTTCATTATTAATGTGCATGAGATGTAACTAGAGTAATGCCAGTAATGGGCACATCTTGGCTTCATATTCTGCCTCTTATTACCTCCTAATAGCTCAACTGCAAATTTTTCTGTTATTAACTGTTAAAAGAACAAACTTTATTGTAAAGTTAAAGCCATATGATACTTAGGCAGGGCCAACTCAAAATTCTGAAACAGCCTATGTGTAACCCTTGATTCTAAACATTAGACATTTAATTATTAAGTTGTGAAGAAAAAAATAAGATAAACAAAAATGCTGATGTTATGGGTAATGTTTATAGAATTATGAGGTTAAAAAATTAATTGCTTTCACCTTGTTAATTAAAAATCTCTTATAACATCTGAATTTATTCCAAGAAACTCCCATAGTCATCAAAGTAAAAAGGTAACACAAACACCATTTTTATGTTTCTTTGTGTACACTACACTGATCTTACTTTTTGATTTAGTGTTAACTTATTTCTCACTAAAAACATCCCAAATTTATATTGGTTCCCTAACTTAGGAATCTAATTTCTATAGTTTTTCCTTTATATAAATCTATAATTAATAAGAATATTCAGACATATAAATTACCTTACTTATTATATTAATTTTCGTGTATCATCATAGTTCATAAATATCTTTATTATATAATGTAAGAAAGGATAATCTTTAGCCTCATGAATAAAAAAGGCTTATGTCCTAGTATAATTCAAGCCTTACAATATATTTGTGCTCTCATTATTACTAATCACTGGAAACTTAGGTTGGTTTAAGCAGTGAGACAAAGTAGCTCAAAATCTCCTGTTTCATTTATAAAAACTTCAAACTATGTCAGTCACAAATTTATAAACACTTTACTCATATTATCTGAATAATCAACCGTAGTACCCATAACAGAGTCTTTTGTATATGTATCTCCCCAAGGATCAATAAACAACAAAAGGTTGTTAAACATGCGTCTATTACAGAATGACTATGTCAGCACTTTAGGAGACAAAACCATAAAATAGAAGAGAGTAGTTCAGGTTTCAGAAATCATCTAATAATTTGCAAGCATAAAAAATGTATAACCCATTCAATGATTCAAGTCATGAGAATATTTTATAATCCTATATTTATACTAATCATTACTTAGTGAAAAATGAAAAATTGCTCATGTAGACAGTTTTGTTTAAACCCATTTTTCAGTTGAAGATATAATAAATGTACTTATATGACATACTTGTGTATTGTACTTTATATAATGTACTTAATTTCAGTTTTAAAATTAAATTGTCTTTAAAAACATGTAAAGGCTTCCCTGGTGGCACAGTGGTTGAGAGTCCGCCTGCCGATGCGGGGGACACGGGTTCGTGCCCCGGTCCGGGAAGATCCCACATGCCCCGGAGCAGCTGGGCCCGTGAGCCGTGGCCGCTGAGCCTGTGCGTCCGGGAGCTTGTGCTCTGCAACAGGAGAGGCCACAGCAGTGAGAGGCCCGCGTACCGCGAAAAAAACAACACAAAACAAAAAAAACATGTAAAATGATTTTATATTAACTATTCAGTAAAATGTTAAATGTCATACACATTTAAAAGATACATGCACAATTTTGGAACGAATTATTATCAATGTAATTTAGATGTATTAAAATCTCTACTTATCTGACTCAAGAATTAACAATTTTGATTTTAATTTAGGAGACATTTGTATATTAGTAGCTACTCTAAGAATATTTGGTAATAGTTAATCTAAAGTAAGTACAGACTTTTGTGTAATACTTTGGTGGATTTTATGAAAATGTGATAACTGGAAATTTTTACTCTTTTTAAATAGTATTTTATATTGATACCTGTAAAATACAATAAAATATAAATAATTTTATTAAAAATTTAAAATATAAGGATTTCTTTTATCATGGATTCATAATTTTTTCATTTGTTTAAACTTAATTTATTATTACATTTTAAATGTAAAAATAGGCCCTTTAAAAAAAATTACCCTGATTTTTCTACTCACGCTCAGTATGTGACATAAAATAGTATCACTTTTATTCTTTATATCTGTCTTCTATAAATGGCTTGTGTTATTAATCTTATTTACACTTTATTCTTCTTGCACCCTGATGTAAATCTGTGTCTCTTAAAGAATATTTATGTCTTTGAAATTTAAGTACAGTTGCTGTGAAAAGAAATGTAATCTCCTAATTATGCCCAGAGCAAACACCTAAGAGACCCAGTAGAATCATAAAATACAGGAAACATAGGCATCTTTGCGACATGGCCTCTTAAAAATGGCCTGTTTGGCAATTTGATAAGTTGTAAAACTTTATAATAACAGATCCTCCTACCACACTCATTGCTTAGTTTTCAAACTTCTATGATTCTAAAATAGAATAAATTCATTTCATACCTTTGTTATTTTGCTATAGAGTTCTGGAAATACTTTCAATTATGCTTTTAGAGTCCCTAAAATAATCCTTTTATGCATTTTAAATTTTCACCCTATGTATCTTAGGCTATTTAGTGTAATCTAAATTTAACACTTTTGCTATTGAAAGATGTTGCAACTTTGAATGAAATTTAAATGACTTCTTAATTAGGATATTAGTAATATTTTGATACAGAAAATTTCATTACTATAATTAAGATGATAAAAAAGATATTTTATTGTAAATGACATATTTACCAAGAATCCACATTTATTTCATAAATTTCTACATCTAGAAAACTGCGTAAGGACGGGGAAAGTTGGGAATGAAGGCCCCCAAAAACTGGAAGGAGGCATTCTAATTTGCTTGTAATTATTTATAGTCAATCTAAAATAGAGTTAAGAGCTATATTTCATAGTCATTTGTAGACACTGTAAGTTATTGCCCTGAAATTTAAACAATGTGGCACTTGTAGATTTAATCATTCAGCAAATTAATCAACGCTTAAATAATTTTTATATGCTAAGGCACACTGTATATGTCCATTAGAGACATATGATAACTATTATAGTTGGAAATAAGAACAATATTTAGACCAGTGCGAGAGGAAAATTGCACTGATACAGGCTTGAGTTGTCAGAGACAAAGATAATATTAAAAACTCTCCTGAGGGTTTCTGGCAAATTATACTGCTGGGAATGGAATAGGTCCATAAAGAGGTGCATAAGTTGGTTCCTCTGATGTCTAGAAGTTCACACTACAGTGCGAGAGATCAACTTTAAACAAATAATTGTCACTCAGCGCAATAAATGCTGTAATAAGTTATGTGGAAGCTCAAAAAAGGGAAATATTAAAACTCCTGAACTAGCTGTGGGAAAAATTAAAACACAGGCTTTATTTTTGTGTAAGGGAGGAAGGGCTATGCATTCCAGTCAGAGGGGATGACAGGTACATAAATACAATGTTGCAACTAAACAGGACCTCTGGGGTCCTGGGAGGAAGGTGCAGAGAGGGGGTTAGTCAATTTTAACCTTGTGCATATACCTCTCTTGGCTTTGCTGCTTCTCCTCCTCTTCCTCCCCCTCCTCCTCCTCCTTCCCCCTCCCCCCACCACCCC